CATCTTGGATTAGGGTTATTTTCAATATTGTCCTTTTTCAATCTTAGATGCAGCCACACATCTAAATGGAAGTCGGTTCCTAACTTATTTTTAATGTTATCATGCTCACATGCACAGACAGATGGATGGACTGATGAAGAGTATTTCCAATTACCCCTCTTCACTCCCCAACGGGGACAATAAAATAATTACAGCTGGTTCAGAAGCCCATTGGGTTGTTTTCCTCAGGTTTAGTGTAAAAAAAAAAAATTGTTTCTAACATTTTGCCAAAAAAAAACAACTTTGTCTTTTCTCGAAACTCATATAAACAAACTGCTCTCTTCATTGTTTTTTCCAATCCATTTTCATACTGGTCACCACTGTAAATGAGCCCTAATAAAGCGACCATAAACACAGCACTCAAACACTGAGACTGAGGTTGAAGGAGTTCAGAGGTGCAATGACAACTGATGTGCCATTTAATTAATTACAGAACAAAACTGAAACTACTGAACAAACGAGAAGCTTTCATTAGTGCACAGTGTGTGCAGTCACATGCTGAAGTGTCCCTGGGCAAGACATTGAACCCCTCATTGCCTCCAATGTGTGTCCCGTCATTGTATGAATGTGATAAAGCACTGACTAATCTTTGTATAGATCTAGTAGAGTGCTGTGTGAATGGGTAAATTAAGGCACAGATTATGTTGTAAAGTGCTTTGAGTATATTGGTAAGATAGAAAGGAGCTATATAAGTACAGTCCAATTATCATTAGTGTCTAAACAGGTTGAGTCAGGTCCTCTGGATGAATTCTTCTTGATGAAACGTTTTGTCTTTTATACAAAAGACTTCTTCAGTGTGAGGAGTTACATAAATGCAGTGTTATAAATAACACCTTCTAATAGTGGATGAACCAGTTTGTTGTTATCCAGAAAGAACTACTGTAGCTAGCTGTTCTCATGTAAAAGGAGGGCCATCAGCCGGACGACCAATCGTTCGGCTGATGGTCATCTTTGTTAGATTCATCTACCTGGATTATTTCATTAGTATCCTTTAGAAAGATCTTGATTATGGAAAATAGTTGCTAGAGCTGTTATCTCTCAGCGAGAAGGTTGTTGGGAAAGAGTTGTGGGTTCAAATCCACCACATGTCGAAGTGTCCCTGGGCAAGACACTGAACCCCTCATAGCCTCTGATGTGTGTCCCATCAGTGAATGAATGTGATCTGCACTGATTAGTCTCTTTAGATTTGTTCAATTAGCTTTGTAGAGATCTAGTAGAGTGCTATATGAATGGGTAAATGAGGACACAGATTGTAGTGTAAAGCGCTTTGAGTATCTTGAAAAAAGATAGAAAGGTGCTATATAAGTACAGTCCATTTGCCATTTTCTTGTTGGGGTTTATGGACTGTCTGCAAATTGCAGCATCAAATTAAATCATTGAAACATTATTGCTGATCATATAGACACAATTTATTAAATTGTTTGGCTTTTATTGTTACGTTTGACACTTTGCAGTCTCTGTACATTTCCAGCGGAGCAGAATGCAGGTCTGACTTTGACTCCCTTTTAAAAAATTGTTTTGGCTGGTCTTTTATTCAGGGGTTGCCACTATGAGCCAACTTGTACAAGCAATTTGTTGGTTTAGCTTTAAACCACATGTCACGTAAAGGTAGGGTAGCCGACTTGGGACTGGAAAGTCGCAGGTTTGACTCTCCGCCATGCCCGTATGTTATGGTGTCCTTGAGCTAGACACCTACCTCCTGAATGATTTCATCTTTGTACGGGAACATATAATGATGACAATACATGGCACTTTAAAATTGTTCAATGCTGGATGCCCTTCATCACACGTGCTCGAACTTGCAGCCTAAGGATTACGAGACTGCAGCACTTACCACCAAGCCACTGTGCATACTGGGAGTTTTAGCTCCTGTCTATCTCCCAAATACATATTGCTTCAACCCCCTCCTTTGTAAAAGTGCAGTCACAGAATCAATAAGTAATCATGTTTGGGAAGAAGGAGTGCACGTTTGCTCTCCTGCCAACTGAGCATTTTGACACTTGATTTAGTGACTTTTCAGACATTTTTGCACTTTTATCCTCTTCAAAAAAGCACTGCAAAATACAACTAAGTCAAATTTTTCCTCTCTACTGCAGTCACAGAGAACCTGCACCAATACAAACACTGACAATGATGAAGGAACATCATCACTTTAAACATTATTTGTTTAAAGAACTCGAACACATCAGCTTAAGATCGATGATCAAGACAAAAACAGACATTTACTAAATGTAGTTCAGAGAGTTGCTACTAAGGTTGCAGATGAGAAAGAGAGAAGAATGCTTCAGTGAAGCAGCCATGGATAATGCCTGACCCATTTGTTGTCCCGTCTTGGGGGAAGAGTGGGACTTAGAAATATCTTCTGTTTGTTCGTGCATGTTGTGAGCATGATAACTTGAAAAATAAGTGAGGAACTGACTTCCATTTTAGTTTGTGGCTGCATAGACATAAGAAAGGTCACTGTTACAAATTGGGTTAACGTGTCAAAAATACAAAATGACCACCATCGTAAAAATACCCTAATTATCAGACTATTGAGCGCACCTGAATATAAGCCACGCCTACTAAATTTACAAAGAATCAATTATTTGTACATATATAGGCCACACTTTTTTATAAGTTTCAGTGGACCAATAGTTTCAATGGTCCACTGTGACCTGCTCAGTAATTTCTATGACCAGATTTTTTTTAACCTTTATTTATACAGGTAGTCTCAATGAGTCACGAGGACCCACCCCCCAAGAGAGATGTCTACTGGGCAGCTCTGTGAGTTCCTGTGTGTGACGGGGCTAAATGTTTTGGCGGCATGAAGATCGTTAGCCCGTCAAAAAAAAAAAAAAACTCCATAAATTAGCCACAGTTGTGTATAAGCTGTGGTTTACAAAACGTGTGAAAAAGTTGCGGCTTATAGACCGGAAATTACGGTATGCCTTAATTGACTATCCCACTCATTTGAGGAAACTAGCCTTTCTACTTTTCACATTTCCTAAAAGTACATTTTTCTCAAATAATTGATTTGGCCATTGATTATATTATGGTGATCAAGGCCACCCCCCACCCTACACTATTTTCTTGTTTCTGGATTGATTATCTTAATATTTTCCTGCTCAGAGTAGTTGTTGGCTTGAAAAAAAAACAAAAAACAAAAAAACTCTTTGATTCTCCGGCCTGGGCTCAGTCTGCTGTCTGCTGCAGGTTAGATACTTACTACAGTAGTCAAAGGTACTCCGCACACCACCACATCAGAAGTCTGTATTTAAAACTAAAGTAAATGAACATGAGTAGGTTGGTTGGAGTTTTGTTGGATTAAAGTGGAAACGTTCAGACTGGTTAATAATTATCGTGTTTGTGTGAAGAAAGGAGCGATCAACCAGGAGGCTTGTTCTTCTGACAGCTCCATCCCCCCGAGTGTGTGTCAGTTCCAACAACACTGCATACACAAATACACAAATATAATATCCTCCACACACTGGGGCATGGCAGACACACACAAATACACAGACACTTTGGAAAAGTGTTTAACCACAGAAGCTCTTTCCAGCTTGTAGTTGACGTGTTCTCAGAGCAGTATCAACATGCATCACTACACCACCACAGCTCATTATCACTACAGTCCATGTGTGTGCGTGTGGGGGTGTGGGTGTATATGTGTGTGTGCACCGGAGTGGACTCCAATCTATTTGTATTTCAAGACTGTTGTGTATAAATGAGTTCATCTTCAGTAACATTTTGTGTGCACAAAACTTGCAGC